GAGGCAGGACGATCCCGAATTTGAGCCCAGCCCGGGCCACTCAATGAGAGCCAGTCTCTAACAAAGAGGGCCGGGGGTGCAGCTCTGTGTGAAGGGCCCTGGGTCGGTCCCCATTGTGGCGAAAAGCAAACAAACACAAAATTCCAGCCAGGGGCAGGGGTGCACGCCTGGGAAGCTGAGGCAGGAGGATCTCTAGTGTGAACCCAGCCAGGGCTTCATCCTGAGTGTGAGCCCGAGGGCAGCCTGGACCCCCGGCGAGGTGGTCTCTCGGAGCAAACCGGGTAGGCACTGTCGGGGGGGTCTGCGCCCCTGTACACAGCGGAGGCGGCAGCCTGGCCTTGCGGGGAAGGTTCCCCCAAACACCTCCTCGTCTGCAAAGAATCAAACTGGGCCGGGTGTGGTGGCGCAAGCTATGTCTCTGCTACTTGGGAGGCTGAGGCAGGAAAGCCTCAAATTTGAGCCCAACGGAGGCAACTGATGACTCAGTGAGACCCTGTCTCAAAATAAAAAATAGACGGGGGTGGGAATGGAGCTCAGTGCCAAGGCCCTGGGTTCTGCTCCCAGTGCTCCAAAACAGTGAACAAGTGAAGTCATTTAAACGGGAATAAACGTGCAAAAGCTGCATCTCTCTTGCGCCTATGCTATCGGTTTCGTTTTGTGCCGGGGAGAGCTGAGCCCCCTGGGGCCAGAACTGGCCCGGGCTGTGTTCCTTTTCACGGCCGTGTAGTATTCCATCGTGTGGATGGCTCACAGTTGGTTTCCCCATCCGTCCCTCTGTCAGGGACGCGATCACATCCCCAGGACATTCTGCAAACATCACTGGGAAGTCCCGGTCCCGAGGCGGCTCAGAACATGAAGCCCCCCCATTGGACCTGGGTCTCCTTACAGAAATAAAAGCCGGGCCACTCACAAGTGTGTGCTGGTATGGCCTAGCAACCTCCCCTCCAAAGGCCGGCCCGGCTGGAACTCCCTGCCCTCGGGGGCCCCCGGCGCTCCCCGAGTTCCTCGCTTCAACCCTCCCCGCCCTCCCGCACCCACCC